AATTCGATTTCGTTAGAAAAAAATATATCTATAGTTTGGCGCATGGGAATATTTTTAGGTGCTTTTTTATGTCGCTGTTGAAAATTTTGAGTATGCCATAGATTTTCACTTGCCGTTTGCTCTTGTTATTTATGGGGAAATTAGAAAAAGTTTAAGGGTCAAATGGAAAAAAACTTTGAAAATGGGTTAAACAAATCCTCATCTAATTAAATCAACTCAAATCCAGTGATTTATAGGCAATTGATAGGAAATCAAGCTTTTTTTCAAAATGATTGTGAATGATAAGAAAGAAATTGGAGAATAATAAAAACGCGTTAAAGCTAAAAAACAAAGATTCTTGAAATGAACGCTCAATAAATAAGCAGACGATAAGTATAGCTTGATAGTTGAAAATATTGGCGTTGTAGAATTGAAGAGATATATTTGAAAAATTTTACGGAAACACATGATTAATTTAAAGTTATACGAACGGTATGCTGATTGTGTTTGTTTTAAACCATAAACAATGGCATTTTTAGGAACCTACGAATCGCTACAAAAAAAAATATAATCAATTATTTTATCAATTATTTATCTTATCTAAACCATTAATCCATCAAACTGCGCCCTTGAACTCTCAAAATTTGTATTTTCTTGCCGTTTTTTTTTCAATTATCGGCCCAGCAAGTGACAGCGAAAACAATAAAATTATAAGAATATCGTAATCACCCTGATAAGATAACTTATATAGCGAAACCATGTAAGCTTGTGAGATTCTTCATTCCCTTCACATAAACTTGAACTTCAACAAACAGTCGTAACCTTCGAATTGTTTATCACATTTTTTTTTATCGTTTGTAAACCAAACATTTCCTGGATGAATGTTTTGTCACCCCGTTTTTTTTTATTATCGCCTTCTAAGTACGCAAAAACAATTGCAAAATTTTGAATTTTTAAACAAACCTTTTAGTTTTTTTGGAGTCCATTGAAAATTCCATAACATGAAAGTGGAGCATAAATTTGTAAGGGTATCACAGCTGGGAAAATGATATTCGGGCAGATTTACAATTGTTCTGCCCGACTAGGGAACAATCGCGATAGTGAGTATATTTAACACTGATTAACACGAACAAGTATTGAAATTATAAGCACGTGATGTAGTGCTTCTACACAACCCACGAAGTAATTGTAGCTTGTGATTGTAGTAGATTTGATTTTAAGCGGGTCTGCTGATAGGACGTATTAACTATGCCACTGGGTCAATATTCAGGCTTGTTTCACTTTTAATTACTAGGGGATTGCTGATAATCGAAGAACACTCATTTTTCTATGAAAGAAACATATTTTTTATGATTTTCACTGCCGCTTTAGAGCTTTACGACTTTTATGCTAATTAGACAGAAATAATGAGCTCAGCGTTTTAAAATCTAAACGAAACTTGTACACATTTTTTCATTTGTTTATTTATTGGCTGATGTCAAATTACGTTGGCAATTTGAATCTAATTATTTGTGGGTCCCGATAGAACCGATTTCGATATGGCCGCACATATAGACGGATATTATATATAGTTATATATATAGACGAGGAGCACACGTTAAATCGAAAATAAAAATTTCGAGCTGACCGCAAAGTGCAAAATGCGAGGCAAACGGCGGCGACGACGACGATTTTTCGACTGCGGCGAAAACGAACCGAAAAAACGGACGGGCTACGGCTACAGAAAAAAAAGTAAAAGAGCGAGCGACGTCAATGGCAGCAGAATAAAAAAAAAACAACCGAACGAAAATCAACAAAATATGAGCAACTCGCGCACGCTCGCAAAATCAAAACAAACGATTATTGTCTATTTAAAAATATGATTAACAATTGCGAGAGAGCTGAGCGAACAGAACAGCTGTTTTCCTGTTGCGGCGAAATGAAAATCAGCTGAGTTGTTTTGAAAACAACACTCATACGCCGCGTTGTACGATACCAAACGAAATGAGAGATGATATGACCGTTTGTTTGTTTATTTATTTGCGTTTGCTCTCTTTGGCGAATTCTAACTGATTAGCACCGCTAGTGCTTATACATCGGTCGCATTAGCTTCAATTTACGGAGGAACCTGGCAAGAGCCTCCCCGTCGACAAGTGCTAATGGAAAACTTTCCGCCCTCCACGTGGAAATCCCGCAGAGAAGCCAAGGCTGGTGCTAGGCTACAACACTTCAAAGGACGTCCTTAACCCGAATTTCGCACATTTGCAATCCGCGGATATCTAATTTAAGGAAAGTGCTTTTCATTTTCTTGAAATGGATTAGGAAAAGGTATATAAATTTACAGACGAACTTTCCTTAATCTTGGTACTGGAAATCAATAAAATCTAACAGAAATCAACACAACGATTTCACTATATTTTTAATGCTCGTTATAGTCATGGAAAATAAATTAACATTTGAATCAACAATAAGTTTACTATTAGTGTTAATGATAGTGAATTTTTATATTCTATATTTTTTTGATATGGTAAAAAATTTATCTTTATAATACAACCGTTTAAAGATTAAATTTAACGTTAAAGCAATCAATTTAAAGTACATCAAACATTTTTCTAGTATATAAAGATCGTGAAGTTTTTACAAGAATAACTAAAGGATTGAATATGTCGGGGCTTTAACATAGTTACCAAAGTTTGACCGTATATAATTTACTTTCCTGGCTGTACTTAAGCGTTTTCCATTATAGAAACGGCCAACTGCCTTGGCGAATTCCTAAACAAACTCTGTGCGAATTGATTTCACCAACACAATAAATAAACAAACAAACAAATAAAAAACAAAGCCTAGGGCATTTTGTAACGACAAACAGTTAAATTGATTATGTACGCGTCTAGATTGTTTGCAATATAGGCAAATGCGAATGCATGTACGAAAAATTAGCACTTTGGCAAGCACTTTCCATCGGTACAATATTGGTTTGGTGAATTAGTTAACTGCTTTTATTGCAAATTACATCACGCCCACCGCATAACTAGAGGAGTTGGTACTAGTAAATGATGGACAGGCACGCGATTCGAGAAGGTAAACACGCGACCGGAACGCACTTTACACCCGCTTAAAACACTTGGGAACGCACTTGATTTTTAGGGCCTAAGTGGGCTCAGCTCAGCTGATTTTTCGTATTATTTTCCCCCTGGTACTTTGTGGCTCGACGGCGGGCAAACAAATGAGAATGTGAATGAGAATGGGCTGATGTACGAGCGTTTGGAGCCCGAAACTTATGCAATTTCGCACAGGTGATGGTAACGACGACTCGACATTTGACTTTGGATGGCTGGCGGAATTTTCTAATTTTGCCACAGTGCGCTACAAAATCCGTTGGATAACTGCCAGGTGGTGGTGGTGGCAAAAGCCCGCCCCAAAAATAAAAAAACAACATATAGAAATTTCAAACCCACCCATTGACGCCAGACATTTGTTTTGTTTTTCTGCGCTGCTCTTCTTCCTCTTTCAGTGCTGAATGTCATTATCAAGGTTTATTTGGCACTCTTTTTCCCGCCTTTTTTTTGTTGGTTTCGTGAATGAAAAGCGTACAAATGAGTGGGTCGGTTTGCTTGGGGGTGTGTTCCAGGGGCACGTTGAGATAGGACCCATAAGTTCGCGTAGCGGTAAATCAATCCCAAAGTATAATGAAAAAGTGCTGTGCGCCAACAAAAAAATACGATGAGTCAATAAATTTAAGAAGACAAAGGGAGAGCTGTAAACTGCATTATGTGAACTGTGGCTAAAACCTTATTTCAAGAATTGTTTATCTTTTTAAAACTTTTTAAAATAATTTTCGATTATTAGTATTAAACCGATTGAAAAACCTGTATGGTTTACTTCGGTCATTTGAAAACTCTTAAACAAAGAAATTTAATGTGTTACTTTGATGCATAGAGGAGCAGAGGAAAATATTTTGAAAAGAGGATACTCAGCATTTTGAGAATATACAATTCTGATTTGATTACAATTGGAAGATAAACACTCAGACGATTCTTTGTAAATATATAAACAATTGGAGCTTTTTAACTTCGAGTTCCCTAAAGTAAACAAACCGTATCCGGATCAATAAGAATTTGCTCCACTGTATTGGTACAGTGAATCAAAACCATAAATTACTGGATTTGATTAGGCGCACAAGTGTGAGTGAAAGAGAGAAAGAGTCTGTGAGTGTGTAGGTGCGTTTGGATGGCCGGCAATCAAAGTGAATCATCACTTAACAAATGAGGAAGACAGAGCAAACAAACAAACGGATAACGGATAAACAGATGCAAACGCGGTTGAAGGTGTGAGTTTGATAGGGAGGGGTAGAAGGAGAAAGGTAAAGGAGTCAGAGAAATGCAAATGCAGTGCCATAACACACACACGAACGCACACATAAGCACACAAAAAGTGGGCGTAAACAAAAGTCAATAAAAGCATAAAAAACAAAAGTGCAGTTAATGGCACGAGCTGCGCCCCAAAAAAAACACGAAAATAAACCAGAAGGCTAATGAAATCTCAAAATAGCCCCTCACCTGAAAATAAGGGAAAACAATCAAAAAACCCGAACAACTTACCTGCAACACCTGTATCCGTGTCAAACAAATCCTCCTGCGGCTCCAAGTGATCCATAATAAATAATTACAAGCCTTGTTTTAAAACAATGACTAAAAACAACACGCGTCTGGGAAAGTTGCAGCTGCGGCCATTTTTTTGCTAGCCAAGCGTGTAATTTCACTAGAAACCACTTTTCTGGTCTTTAAACAGCCGAAAAACACTCTCTGATCCTTTACGACACTTTGCACTCTATGAAATAACGATTTCCTATTTGATTTATCAAATTTTTGGGCAGTTTTTTTTGTTGCAAATGTTGAACGAAAATTTACGCGTTGTGAAGAAGCAGAGAAATATTAAAGCAGCTGATTTTTGTTTTGACCAGGGCTACGAAACACCACCGCCTATCGATATGCTGCCTTACGTTGCATTTTGTTACGTTAAACGTTATCGGCGCTCAGCTGTTTGCCCGGCTATGACGTCACGCGTGGACAGTAAATTTTTTGCATTTTATTTTTTACATTTTTATCGCAATTATCTGCAAATACTTGACTAAACATAAATAAATGCGTTAATCAGGGCTATACAATGTCGCCGGCGATTGCATTGAGTGGTTAAAGGCCCAACCACAAAGGCAAAACAATCACAAATCGACGAGGCATAAAGAAGCTAAGAAGAGCCCCACAGGAAAGTCTTAAAAATAGTAAGAAAACGTTAAATACAATGTAAACTTTATATATCGAACGGAATTGAGTGTACTAGGTCTTAGCGTAGAGCTGAAGCTACCAAAATTTAAACAGTTTTGTTACCAACACATCTGGATCTGCTACTTCTAATGGACTACTCTAGTAAGTTAACCAACAAAGTTAATTTTGCTATTTGTCTAAATTCAAAAAATCTATTATCTCTGGTTAATATTATTGCAGTCACTGGTAATATTTCATATTTAGAGCAAATATGTACCATTAATTTCCAGTATTTCGACCGTAGTAAGATAACGTTTATGGCCACCTTATATTGGTCTTACTATCTTTTGAAAACTGATTTCTGCGTTTTAATGCCGTGTTAATTGTTTCCTCAAAAATGGAAATAACTATATCTTAGCTTTATTAATTTTACTCGAAGTAAAGTACAAAATCTTAACAAATATAGCATTTTAAACCAGACAAAGTTTACTTCTTCGAATTATTTATGAAGCCAAGTCAAGTCAAAATAAAGCGAATTAAACAGAATAAATAAATGTAAAGCCTATGATAAAACTCAATTTTAAACAACAATTACAGAAATCAAGCACGAATTGACGAAACTAATTTTAAAGTCAGATTTTTAATTCGATATAAAGAGTAGTACAACTTGATAAAGAAATACATTAGTCACCATCTACAATTGCAGAAACCAAAATGGAAGTGCCAGTTCATCCGCTGAGCCAGGATCCCACGGCCGCTTGGCGGGACATCAGCAAATCGCAGCGGGTGATCAAGGTGACGATGAAGCCACCCACCACCACAGTGGCACCCAACAAGGCCCGAGTAGTGTGCATGTCCGACACCCACTCTCTGACCCCGTACATCAAGTTCGACATCCCAGATGGCGACATATTCATCCATGCGGGGGACTTCACCAAGTGCGGCCAGTTGGAGGAGGTGGAGGAGTTCAACACTTGGATTGGAGCTCTGCCGCATCGCCACAAGATCGTGATTGCCGGCAATCATGAGCTGAGTTTCGACAGAACCTTCACCCATCCTTTCCAGAAGAATCAGGGCAAAGGTCATGCTTCGAGCAGCAAACACACTGGCATGTCCATTCTGGATGATCTGCCCACCTTGGGCAATGCCAAGGAGAATCTGGAGAACGCTGTGCAGACGCAGAATGTCCGAGGAGTTCTGACCAACTGTCGGTATCTGGAGGATGAATTGCTGGAGATTTGGGGCATTCGTATTTATGGATCTCCCTGGCAGCCGGAGTTCTGTCGCTGGGCCTTCAATGTCCCCCGAGGTCCGGCCTGTTTGGAGAAATGGAACCAAATACCTGAGGGCATCGATATTCTGGTCACCCACACCCCACCCGTCGGTCATGGAGATCTTTGCTGTTCCGGCGTAAGAGCGGGATGCGTGGAACTACTCAGCACAGTGCAGCAACGTGTCCGCCCGAAATACCATGTTTTCGGACATGTTCACGAAGGCTATGGCATTACCAGCGACGGCAGGATTATCTTCGTGAATGCATCCACTTGTGACATCAATTACCTACCCAACAATGCCCCCATCGTTTTCGATGTGACCCTGCCCCCAGGCTTTCGCAAGGATTAGCGTGCCTAGAATGATATTTACCCGCGTTTGTTTCCGGATCAATGAATTTACTTTGTTTTAAACTTACTTTTACTTTTACTTTATGTTCCAGTTAAGATTAAGTGTCTACAGAGATTTGTCAACACAAATACAGGTGCCTCGAGGATTCTCATTGAACAATCACTCTCTATAGATTCAAAATCATCATTAAGGCGCCATATATAATTTATTTAAGTAGAGTTAAAACCGATTTGTAGAGGTTTTTAAAAGATTGTCAAGTATAAAAATCTTTAATAAATCACAGAGTTTCTGTAATTAAACAATGTCTCTTGGCTAGAAGACACCCAAAATATTAGTTTCAGGTCTCTCTCCGTTTCAGAACATTCACCGATGCCAACAATTTTGAATTTTGATCGATAAGCCGCCAAAAATAGCCTGGAAAAACCTTGGAACGACGATCGCTGGACTGCAACCCAGTTTGACATTTCTCTTTGGCGCCTTCTAACGGCGCTTTTCCAGTGACTCCCCAACCATCCATCCAACCTGAGGCTGTACTTTTCGCGTGGCGAGACCAATAAAAAATATTTAACAAAAGGTCCCTCGGTCGTATTAGATTTTAATTTGTGTACCCCGATTTTAGATTTGCAAAGAAGCACACAAATAAAATGGTGAGATTATAAATGCATTTCTCTTGGTTAGGTCTAAAGAAGTGGAAAGTGTGGGGAGTGGAAATTCATAAAAGTGGATAGGGCAATTGAAAAAAGATGACCAAGCCTTATTAAAAACTTTAAATGTATCAGTATCTGCACCCAAATTCCTAAAGTCTAAAACACTTTAATGTTTCCCCCAAAACTAAATTCAAAAATATTATTTTAACAAATAATTGGGTATACAACAGAAAAGTGTATGCAAATACCCCCAGATTTATAACTGCCTTTTAATGATAAATGTTTTTGCGAAATAAACTTCTGTATAAATATAATATAAAACTCTACATATTGATCAACATTTTTTTTTTATTATTAAATACCTTAGTCTATTTCAATAGACTAATGACCCAAATAAATGAGGAATAAAATAGGAATTCATAGTATTTAAAGGATTCCATCTTAAATAAACATTAAAAAAAAACATCAAAATACATATTTCGATAATTAATATTTTGTTGAATTGTATGTTTTTTGAGTAGTAAAAATAATTACTAAATGCAAATGCAACCTAACCTAACCTAAAACAATGGCGCCTTTTTGTATTACCCCTACTAGCGCGAAGTGGTCTCCATCCAGATTGGCCAATGTGGCATCCAGATCGGCAACGCCTGCTGGGAGCTGTATCTCCTGGAGCACGGCATCAATCTGGACGGCAGCCTGAAGACCAAGGAGGAGCTGACAGCCAGCGGGAGCAGTGCCAGTGTGGGTCACGACACCTCCGCGAATGATGCACGGACCTTTTTCACGGAGACCGGAAATGGCAAGCAAGTGCCCCGATCGATTTTCGTGGATCTGGAACCCACGGTCATTGACGATGTGAGGAATGGCTGCATGAAGGAACTCTATCACCCGGAGCAACTAATTTCTGGCAAGGAGGATGCGGCCAATAACTACGCCCGCGGTCGGTACTCCATTGGAAAGGAGGTGATCGATAGGGTGACCTCACGACTGCAGAAGATCGCCGAGCAGTGCGATAGCTTGCAGGGATTCCTCATCTTCCACTCGTTGGGCGGAGGAACTGGTTCGGGATTCACCTCCCTGTTGGTAGAACGACTATCCACCGATTATAGTAAGAAGTGCAAGCTGGACTTTGCAGTTTATCCGTCGCCCAAGGTGTCCACGGCCGTGGTGGAGCCCTACAATGCCCTGCTGACCACCCACTCCACCATGGAGCACTCGGACTGTGTGTTCATGGTGGACAACGAGGCCATCTACGATATATGTAATAACAGTTTGGGTGTGGACAGACCTGCCTATAGTAATTTGAATCGCTTGATCGCTCAAATAGTGAGCTCTACTACGGCCTCGCTGCGTTTCAGTGGCTCGATGAATGTGGATCTCAACGAGTTCCAAACGAATCTGGTCCCCTTCCCCAGGATCCATTTCCCCCTGGTGGCCTATGCTCCGCTGATGTCCGCCGAGAGGTCGGCCCACGAGCAGCATGCCATCACCACGCTGACCAATGCCTGTTTCGAGTCCTCCAACATGATGGTCAAGTGTGATCCTCGTGCGGGTAAATTCATGGCCTGCTGCATGCTGTATAGGGGAGATGTGGTGCCCAAGGATGTGAATGCGGCCGTGTCGGCCATCAAGTCCAAGCGGCACATTCAGTTCGTGGACTGGTGTCCCACTGGTTTCAAGATCGGCATCAACTATGAGAAGCCCGCGTTTGTGCCGGACGGAGATTTGGCCAAGACATCGCGCGCCTGCTGCATGTTGTCCAACACCACCGCCATTTCGGTGGCCTTCTCGAATCTGTCCTACAAGTTCGACCTGATGTTCAAGAAGAGGGCCTTTGTCCATTGGTACGTGGGCGAGGGCATGGAGGAGGGCGAGTTCACGGAGGCGCGGGAGAATATCGCCGTTTTGGAACGCGACTTCGAGGAGGTCGGTCTGGACAACAACGAGGAGGACGGTGGAGAAGGCTTTGAAGAGTATTGAGATCACATCCCGTTTCCCAGACAGACCGCAGTCCCCAAGTCACTTCAATATTCAACAAAATATGTAAATAATTTAATAAAGAGTTAAACAAAATATAACGAGTTTTATGGAGTAAGGGTATCAAATATCCAATAATGAACGGCGTACCAAGAAAATTATTTTTTAGAAAAAAAATGTTTCTTAAAAATTAAAAGAATTGAAACTTAAAGCCTAACATGCCACTTGAGTCAAAGTAAAAATTGCAATACAAATTTAGAATTTGGGCCTTTGGCATTAATGAAACTAAAACTTTCTTTCAAACTTTCTATTTAAAACTGTTTAAACGATAAATAAATATAAAATTTAAAATTCTTTCCGAAATAAAACCCAATAAAAGGGAAGGAGGAAAAATAATCCATTCAAGTGAAATTGTTTTTTAATGTCCTAAATTTATTTTTTTGTAACAATGTTCCCACATCCTTCAGAAATAAAAAATAAACTTTTTAAAAAAAAGTTTAAATTAAAACACATATTTCATTAGTTTTCTGTAATATTTTTTTGTATTTTTTCTTTAGATTTTTTGTTGTTGTGTTTGTTTTGTTTATTATTTTTTAACGCCTATTCGCTATGTTCTTTTCAATTGTATTTTTTTGTTTTACTTAATTTTACTAGATTTTATTTTGAACTTGCAAGTATTTTGCGTTTTTTTTTCATTATGAACTTACAATAAAGAATCATCAAAAAGTTGTTGCACAGTGTAAAATTACAATATTTTTTGTGTGTGAGTGTATGTGTGGGAGTTTTGGGTGTGTGTGTGTGTGTGTTCGTGTGGGGATTTAGGTGTATATCTTCTACGGTGTTAATCTATAAATCTAAAATTCTCTCTAAGAGCATGTTTACACCAATCAACTGGGAATTATCGTTCGTGCTAACTTTTAAAATCAGAAAACGGCAAAAGTTTGTTTAAACAAAGATCCTACTATACAAAGGAAAGGCATTGCATTTGGGTACTTCTGTTGTTGTTGTTTTTTTGTGTTGTTTAGTGTTATCTTTAGGTTCCTATTTAGTATAATTACATGACGATTTCCCATCTACTGAGTTTGCATTTGCTTTAATTACAATAGTTAATTCATAAAAAATATATAACGATTATGATGGCAAAATAAGTTGTTTCAAATTGTTGTGGTTGTTGGTTGCATTATAAATTGCTGTTAAAGATGTGTTTTTGCGGTAGCTTGCTAACGGTGTTCTGGTTGCTGTTTTAAACGTTTGCTGGTTTAACTGCCGGTTTTTTGTTTGTTGTTTAGTATGGAACATTTGAGAAGAGATACGAGACGCTCTCGCCGTTGTGTGTCCGTCTGACGGCCTCGGCGAACATCATCGAGACATCAATGCACTGAGAGGAATAAAAAGAAAACCATTTAACATTTTTGATAAATAAATTCGGGTTATAGAGACACGTTTCATAAAATTAAATGAAGTTGTAATTTTAACGTGACAATTGTATAACAAAAGGGCTTCTACAATTGATTTAATTCAAATCAGGACACATTAAAATTCATTTTAATAGATGTATACCAACCTGGATTTTGGGACAATCCCGCATATGTCCATCCTGTGGTATAGTATTGGTCACCACCACCGCCTCGAAACAGGCATTATTAATCCGCGAAATCGCGGGACCCGAGAAAATACCATGCGTCAGAATGGCATAAACCTGAATAAAGCCAAAAAATAAATCATTAAAACGTGGATATTTAAATGGAGAGTCCAGCGAACGCACCTTGGTTGCTCCAGCTTCCACCAGGCGATCTGCGGCATGCACAATGGTGCCGCATGTGTCGGCCATATCATCGACCAGGATGGCAATCTTGTCCTTGACATCGCCCACCAGAACCATGGACGCCACCTCGTTGGCCTTCTTGCGCTCCTTGTGTATCAGAGCGAACTCCACGTTCAGACGATCGGCAATCGAAGTGACACTGAAAGAGAGCCCTTTTAATTTACATTCAGTTCTGAAGAGATGAAAAGTTAATCTTACCGCTTAGCGCCACCAGCATCGGGCGACACAATGATCGAGTTCTTCCACTCGGGAATGTTCTCCTTGATCCACTTCAGTACCGCTGGCTCGGCATAGAGATTATCAACTGGTATATCAAAGAAGCCCTGGAAGCGGAGTTTTTAACTTAGTTATACATCAAGTAGTCGTTGGGAGATCACACATAGTTGTCAGGCATTAACAATCTGTGTCGAGATACAGTTACATTAAAGTTTTGACCCCCAATGATCAACATCTCTAATCTTCATAAAAAAAATTTCAAACAAAAGTTAAGCAGGTAAAATCCCAAAGAAAAAGATAAGCTACGGAATGTCCCAGTCACAAGCCCAATCCCCCAATCACATGCTTAATATGGAGGGGCATGAGGACCTAAAACAATGGCTTAAGGAGCAACGTATTATCCTGGACCTGGGTACCCGTCGCTATTTCTCTGATGTCCTACCCGTGGCCAAGATTGTTAAGAAATGCCATCCCCGTCTAGTGGATCTGCACAATTATCCGACCAAATGCAGTGTGGTGCTGAAGCTTAAAAGCTGGGATACGTTCAACGCCAAAGTTCTTAAGAAGTTGGGCATTAATATGCCACGTGCGTTGATGGAACAACTGGCTGCAGCGGTCCCCGGAGCTATCGAAACGCTATTTCAGGAACTTATTGCTGTGACCAAGTGTGGCAGTCCCAGACCGAGTCCCATGCTGCAAGCCTCGCCCACGCGTTCCCAAAGAAGCGAAGTGGTCAAACAGTCGGTTAATAAGGATACCCGGAGTCGCACCCTCAACCGATCCCTCACTCAAGTGAACGAGCGTTCCTCCTCCAATGATAAGATACCCAAAGTGCTGACCATGGACGTGGACACCCTTGTCAATGGAAAGATCAAGAAGGTGACCAAAAAAGTAGTTGACTATGAATATTATACAAGAGCAGTAAGAGAGAGCGCCGAAAAGTCCAATTACATCAGCTCCATCACCCAGAAAGCTGACTATCTGGAGAGTATGATTGCCGTGAAGGAGGAGCGCATCTCCGAGCTGATGGACCAACTGGGCAAACTCTCGGTGAGCATTCTTTCCATGCGACCCATGCTCAGCGATAACGATGACGATAATAGAATCAGTACAAATACCCATACCCATATTAACGACGACTCTGAGCCCTACATCGAGTTCACCACCTAGCCAAGCGGCGGAGGAGCCTGTTCTTGAGGATCAAATCAAAAACAAAATATCAATTTCGGCTCCGCCGTTGGACGACCGCATGTTATTGGATATATCTGTACCATATATTTTGTATTTCAATTTGCATTCTTGCAACACTTTCTTTGGCTTTACACCAAATAAACAAAGCGAAATTGTTACGTCGTTCAAAAAGAAAATCACATTTTCTTTATCGTAATTGAAAGCTTGCTGATAAATCAAATCGAACTGCGATAGGAAAAACGCATTGTAGGCTTTGCAAATATAATGATATCAAAGATAACTTTGAGAAGGTTCACCTGGGGTTTTTCATTTGAGTTATTGTTTTTATAGCTGTCTAATAAATTTTTTACAAGTGACTAATGTAGTTTTTACCAGGTAATCGGATAAAAAAATAATATCTATGGAAACTGAAAAGGGGTCTTCAAATTTTTGAAATTCTCCACATTTGATTGAACGTTATTTAAACCGTATGTTTTCCTTACATTTTCATATATTTTGATCAACTTAGGCCCCAATTTCATAATTTCTTATAACTATAATTATATAGAATCTCGTGTAGACTTACCTGAATTTGTGAGGCGTGCAGATCCATGGTTATGATGTGATCGGCTCCAGCCACGGACAGCATGTTGGCCACCAATTTGGCCGAGATGGGCGCACGACTCTGTGCATTGGCCAGCGTAGAAAGAGATGCAATTAAAGGTTTCCATTAGCGCAACTAGTAGTGGTGGAAATCTTAAGGCTAGGCATTATGAGGAGTAAACCATGGAAATCAAAATCGAACATGGACACACTTATGTATAGACAGAAATCAACAAAGAGGTTAACGTTCCAATAGATTGCATATGGAGATACATAATTCATAGACAGAAAAGAGATTCAGTTGCGACAACACAAAGGACGAATGTGAATTGGTGCAGCACCCCGGAAATAATGAATTGAGATCGAGAGAGGCCGAGAATGAGATATATATACCCAGGTGATGAAGGTGCAACGCCAGTTAGAGATAAACATATACAGATAGATCGGTTAATACGCAAACAAGTGCAAAGAAAATCGAACAATTTTTCACTTTTTTCTTTCCGTTTTTCTCATTTGATTTGGGGATTGGATTTTGGTGGTTTATTTGAATTCCGAACTGAACTGAGAATAAGGCATGCAAAACATCGGTCGGATATAAACATGTGTATAGATAGGATTGGGGAAACGACCGTCTGGTACCATCAACTCAAAAGAAAACATTAACGAACGCAACAAAGCAAAAGGCTTAAGACAAAAATAATCTAAAGCAAAATGGTCTTGTTTTTAGTCCCGCAGCAGCATTAAAAATAATAATGCCTGGGATACAGGAACTAACCGAACTACTCACAGTATATTGTTTGGCTGAAAACTCCTAAGTTCAACAGAAATCGAATTTGGTTTGTTTTTATTTTGGGTAATTTGATGCAAAAGAGAGACAAAGAGTATAAAAAGAAAAAGAAGAAAACAGAAAAAGTTCAGAATAATTCAGAGTTTTAAATTAAAATTATTGTGGGAAATGGAGTCATAAGGGGGTATCATAAGTTTAAGTTAACAAAGTCATAATCTGTATTTAAAAATAGGGTGTGTGTTAGTCAAGTGATAGGATTGAATTCAAATCAGGTTGCAGTGCCAATTCAAGAAAAACATTTTTAAAAATTACTATATATTTTCCTTCCATTTTAGCTGATTATCTTGAATGTCAAGAAACTCATTTACAGATTACAGAAATGAAAAATATTTGTGCATTTTGTGCGCTTGACCCCCAGGGTTCAACGTCTATATGTATATACCCCCAATGCCGATCCAATCGTCTGACGTCACAGGGGATTATCTAGCAACGGAAAAACTTAATCAAGTGGAATGGAAAATATTTTTTTGTTTAAGCCCCGAAAGGAGGCTGTTGTCAGGGCCGATAAGACAATAACAAAAGTGCAGGATCACAACAATCAACACAAACAAACAGCAGTCGAAACAGCACAAACAATAATATTTATTAGAGGTCCATTATTAAATATAGATTAATTTATGTAAATTATTTTTTTTCACATTCCCTTTTTTTTTTGCAATGAAGAGCCGCCGAAACAAGACAAACAGAGGCAACGAAAGTATGTGGAAAATTTATTTTCTTAAATTTATTGCCAATTATTATTCATTGCATTTGTCACCAATTTTCTTTGTGGGTTAGCCAAGAATTTCTTCTTTATTAGTTTATGAGCAGGGAGGAGGGATTTAGGGAAGGACATGCAAGGTAGACAAAAAGCGGATTTTCTTTAGAGAAACGTGAAACTTGTTAAGCCAGACGCCAAAAATTTTCTTTCGTGAGTTATGAGTTTGAGGATGATTTTGCCATTTCGATATTCCCTTCCAGTTTTCTTAGTGTTTCTTTTTTTTGGTTCGAAAGAAAATTAATAAGAAATTTCCCATTAGAAGAACATAAAGTGTGAATTCGGTGAGCGTTTAGTGGTTGAAAAGGTACAAGGTAAATACCCTAAATTTCCAATCGTAGTTTTTCTTGGCTAGTTTCTTGCTTTCCGCATTATCCTCACTGCCTGCCAACTTCACGGAGAATGATAGACAGAGATCGATAGAGAGACGGAGAAAGAGAGAGAAATACACCAAGGCACACACACACGCGCGGGTAGAGGGAGATAGTAGCAGGAGGGCGAGAAAGAGAGAGCGATCATGGCATGGGAAGTAAAAATAATTAAAGTATTTAATCACAAACGGCAGGAAAATTAAGCAAAATATATTACTAAATTTGTTGTACAAATTTTCCACATTTTCCAATTGCGTGCGTTTTTACATTTTTTGCGTTCCTCCAGCTTAGCTTCGTTGCAAATAACTTTTTGAAAATGAAAATCAAATCCAACTTGATTAACAAAATGCATTAGAAACTCACAGTCACACACACAGAAAAAGAGAAGTATGTATATATAGGATAAATTAATCGGTTATATATATATAGCAAGTAATTAACAATCGAGCTAAACGTTGGGGAAAACATTCGGGGGAAAAGTTTACGCTTTTTCGTTTACACTTTTCCCCAATAGAAACAGTGTGTGGGCTTTGAGTTGGAGTAATAGTCGGATCATCTAGAATTAATTGTTTACATTGCTTTTCTTTGCACGTAGGACCCGAAAAGGGATCCAGAGAATATAGTACCGTGTGATTTTCGGCGGCCGGATCGTGTTGAGGCAAACCTACCTTGTCTTTTTTGTCTTGGCGGGCATATGGAAAGCAAGGAATCACAGCTGTAACACGAGAGGCTGAAGCGATTTTGCACGCATTGATCATGATCAGAAGCTCCATCAAGTTATCGTTGATCTCGCCGGATCCCGACTGCACGATGTACACATCCTCGCCGCGCACCGATTCCCCAATTTCCACACTGCAAAGACAGAGAGCGGGGGGTCAGTTGAAAGGCTGGATGTGGGTGCACTGGGAGAAAATATCAGCAAGATTTGGACAAAAATTGGTAGGTTTTCACACCAAAATACTTTCAATCTAAAGCATATCGTTTTTAGATCACCGAAAACTTGAGCAGTTCTGAAACATTATTACAGTATCATATGAATCCATTACGAATCCATTAAATTATTAAAGATAGTTCGATTACACAGTTTTACTAAAATTTGGATATTAAAGTTTGGAAATTTATTTCGCTAGTTAAAGTCTGGTGGAATCTCTTCAAAAATATATCGATTAGTTTGAAATCATCAAGCCGGTATACACCAATATAATACCAATGTTTTCTGTGTAAACAAAAAATGTATCTCGTGTAAATTACACTCCTTCAGTGTGGAAAAATTTCCATTGTTTGGCTCGAGCTCGCATGTCTTGGCAACAGCTCTCAAATTCACAAGTTCCCAAAGTATCCTTTACTCTACTTCACCGTCCTCCCCTTAATTATTGATAATCCAAACAATACACGCCCACGCTTACGACGCCCACTATTGTTGACCTTTAACGACGCCCATCGAAACTGCAGGCCAACGCAATCTAATCGAATCTTCTCTAATTCACATGCACACACACATGGCGTATGCGCAATATTTGCACCGACAACTGACACCGACGCCGCTTCGTTTATTATTTTGTTTACATTTTGTTTTGTTTTGGTTTCAGTTTTGCTCAGAGCTCGGTAGGCAACTTGAACTATAGATTTTCGATACCCTTGAATGGGAGCTTTAATCGGCATTTCAAAGACGGAAATAAATTAGAAAATAACCCAGAACATTTGTAAACATAAACATATGTCATGTTTATTAGGTGTATAGTAGTACCATAAATAAATAAAATATATATAAACAATTCAGAATAAACGTATATTCTTGTTTTTTTTACATAAATCTTTAATCCTATAAATCAAAACTATTCCCCCAATAAAAATCTTTTCAATAAGAAAAGCCACAACTATTCTTTGTTCAAAAGTTAGATTTCATAAAGCAGCCAATTTCACTCAATAAAACACTGCTCACTGGTCCAACTACTTCTCTCATTGTGGCCTTTTTTTTGCTTTCTCATGGTTATTTTGGCTTTTGTTTTTCCATTGAAGGTTAATTCAATTACATGGCATTTGAAACATCAGCCCTCAACCGGCTATCGATTGAACGACCTGTGCCAATGTGGCCCGTAATTAATTTGTCCAATATTTCGGGGCTATCTTTGTCATACACAAATTCGTGTCGCCAATCGCGTGACACGTTTTTGTAGTATAGTATAACCTATTTCGGCAACCGCTTATCAAAAAAAAAATAAGCGAAAATTTTGTTGACCGGCTTTTTTCGGGGGTATTGATTGCAACGTCTCGCAGAAATATTTTTCTTATCTAGGGTTCGGTCGAGATCAGTATTGGCCGGCTAAATGCAGCGATTTCATCAACCTTGGCCGGATGCATTATGCCATTAAATCATGCATTTTTGAACAGATTGTCGGGGCTGCAAAAACACTTTCACCGTTCGCCACCATGACATTGTTAGCATGCCGGGAAAACTTGGGAAAATCAAAGGGAAAAACCAGGGGGAGGGAATTGGATGTGCTGGGCGTACGGGAGACTTGCGACAGTTGGCAATTGGCCAGAATCCGCCGCATTGCCAGCAACTAGCAACAGTTCAGCAGCTGTTTCTTTGCCCGACCGTCAAATAGAATTT